AGCCTTAGGACAGCTTTTCAATATTTTCCAGAAATTGCAGTTAGTGAACACTGGAGAATTCTAACTTTTTTTCTTAGTGTCTTTGTCGATCTGTGCACTATGACCTGGAACCACTGATGATGTTTATGTTTCAACTTTCAAGCGCAGTACATCATATTCATTCAGCAAATGTTGCTATATGTGAACATAGGCTATTTCTGTATTACTGATTGTACATTTGAAAAATGTTTACCTTCTATTTCTTAGGGTGGCTTTGGCTGGGTGCAGGGTTCTGGATTGAGAAATGTTTCTGATTCAGTTTCCCATAGGAAATGTTTCTTTGGTGAATCTGAATCACATGTAAAATCGTTTGGCTCACTGACCGGATTCTTTTTGTTAAAAGAGAGATTGATGGTTGAATTGAACAATGTACCCCTGTCTGTATATGCTGATTTAGTAAAATAAATGTAATTTTTTATGCAATAAATAATAACATCATAAACTCTACATAACAATAGACTAGAAATATATATACCAAAAATAATCAGCGACGTCAAGAGGTAGGGAGGAGTGATGTAGCTGAATTGGGCTATTCTGTAGCTGAAGGGAAGTTGTTTGACCAATGGCACAGCAATGTATTTAGCTGGGGAGTACATGGGGGAGAGGAGAAGGAACCTTGTCTTGCGTGAAAAACAGGTTTCTGCCCGTTTCTTGCTCCTAGTTAGAAAACATGAAACGTTTCAAGAAATTATGTTTCGAATCGCTCACTGGTTATCTTGTTTAGGAAGTGGTTTATAGAGAAAACAGGTTGGAGAATCCCTGCCAAATGCCCACTAAGCTTGACAGTTCCATTAGGTTTTTCCACTTTTTGAAGTGGTTTTGGTGTGAACTGAGCAATAGATCAGTTGTGTTAAAACCTTCCTAAAGGATTTGGTACTCCTCTCTCTCAGTACTAAGGATGGCAACGGGTCGGGTTCGGATCGGGTGGAGTCTCCGTGCACCCAAAACCGAAACCCGAAATCGAAACCTGAATCCGCCCCGAAAACTGATTCGGGTGGAAATCCATCACCAAAACCAAACCTGGCAGGTCTGTGTAACAATATACACGAATATGTATGTTATTTTGTACCAGAGTGCAGTGTGCATTCTGGTTCTTAATTAATATTAGTGAATTGCTATTCATTTCCAAGTGGAGTCTGAACCATCATTGTGAACTTAAGTGATACCAGTAAATGTTAGTACTCTTTAACAAGAGTGCTTTTTTCAACACACAACTAGCACAAATTAACTGGGTTGCTCTTTACAGATGAAATAGGGTGCTCTTCGTAGAACAAAGAAGCAAAAAAGATTGACTCATTTCCTCGTCATATTTAATTGGCTGTCTGATTCTCAGAGTTAATTTGTAAAGTCGTCCAGATAATTAATGTTTGAATTCTGCAAGAAGATATGGCCTCGTTCGCTTCGCTGAAAAAACAAGCCGAAACATTGTTCCGGCTGATTTGTTGTGAGAGAAAAACACTGTTCCGGCTGAAAAAACAAGCTGAAAAGTACGGATTATAAGAGAAACGAACAGGGCCATAACTACATATTATTTCTATTGTTTTTTTTTGGGGTGACACGTGTACTGACATATACTTCATTCGTGGATTTGTTTATCATATTGTGCAGGTTAGGAAAAAGTTGATGAATCTGGGGCATGCACAGAGGTACTTAATGATTTACTAATCTGTTAGTATTTAGTAAAACAAAATAAATGGACTACCATCTATGTGTTTAAATAGAATGTTTTAAAATACTTGGTTTGACAATTTCCTGAAACTGCATCAAACATACTGGTGGGTGCATCCCTAGTAACTGGTGCTTGTACTTGTTACAGCGAGGAGACAAAAGTAAAGATATCAGAGGGGGTGAGGCGAGGTTGGAGTTTGCGTCTACAGAGATTAATGGTCCAGGATGGTTGCTTTGTGGAGTGGAGAGACATGGTAGCTGATGCAGCTAGAAAGGGCTTTGCTGGTGGAGTTTCCCTCGAATGGAATTCATATAAAATCTTGAGTGAGCAAATGCGGCATGAGTGGTTGGAGAATCTCCAGAAAAGGCGATCAATGCCAAGGCCAAGAGGTAATAGACGAGCACCAAAAACACCTGAGCAGAGGAGAAAAATTGCAGAAGCCATTGCTGCGAAGTGGTTGGATCAAGTAAGGGCTACATATATGTATATTTTGTGCCATGTGGGCCTCTTTATTTCTCATTCCTCGTGCATTGGCCATAGAAGTTTGATGGCTATTTTCATATAGCATAAGCATTTGAGTTTGTTGCTTGACTTTTGAGTGGTCTCTTCCTCTAGGAATATCGTGAACGAGTTTGTAGTGGAATTGCTAGCTACCATGGATCATCTTCTGTGACTAAAACACCAAGAAAGCCAAGACCTGCTGGAGAACCAGGTGTAAAGAAACAGACTACAAAAAAGAAACCTACGCAAGCCAAACCTGTAAGCTTAGAGGACGCTCATGGAAAAAGTGCAGCTGTTAAGAGAAAGAAAAGTGCAACTCCCTACAAAGATCCGATGGCAGTTGAAAAATTGGAGATGATATCAAAGATTCGAGCTCAAAGGACAGCACAGGAAATAGAAAAGAAAGAAGCTATTAGAAGGGCCAGGTATGCCTTTTTATTTTGAAGCGAAAAATGGGGTTTTATTATGTGAGACACATGCTCTTATTAGTTTTGGCAGGGAAAAAAAAGAATGTATAGCTTTAATCCATCGTTGTTTACCCATACATGTTTCTTTATTTGTTCTAAAAAAAAAATAACTGCTGCTTAATTTTTTTTTTTATCTCTAGGACACTGATAGCAGAAGCAGAAAAGGCTGCTGATGCTCTGGAAACTGCTGCAGCGATGAACCCTTTTGCTCAAGCATCACTTATAGAAGCTAGAAAGCTTGTTACAGAGGCAAGAGTGTCACTTGAATGTGTTGATGATGAAGGGCCTCAAGAAACTGCTTCCAATGATGCGTCAGGGAGCTCAGCTTTATTGAACTTGCACGATCATGGATTGGAGACACAGAATGGAAGTAATTTGTTGAAGCAAGAGAATAAACCTATAAATGGGATGGAATTTCCTCCAAGCAATGTTAATGGCCTCGGTTTCCATTTTGATGTATCCGAACTCAGCGGAACAAAACAACTATATCAGAGGATAGAGAATTCCATGGAAAGGGCTTTTCTTCTCCTTGCTTCGCCGTCAAAGCTTAAAAGTGCGAATGGAGATTTTGGAATAATAGATTTAGAAGTGAGGCAATCAATGGCCAATGACACGGCAAAGCATAATGGCATCGCTGCTGAATCAACAGAAGCTTGTCCTCCAGGGACACTAGAGCTAGAAGGAGATCCTCCCAGGTCTGAAGAAAAGGTTGGAACAAGGGAAGATTGCCCTCGGGGGACACTCAAAGAAGACACACCCTCATCTGAAGAAAAGGCTAAGATGAGGTGGGTACGTGGGAGGTTGGTCAAAGTAAAAGACGATTTTGGGGATTCAGAAATCTAGTACTAGGCGGCAAATCTGGCCAGAGTTACCGTTACTAGGCAATCGAGTTTGCTCACTTCCGTTTAGCCACCATTTTGTATGCCATTTGGTACGGCACAATTTGGTGTTTACAACCTGCTTGCTGGGACCTGGGAGTGGCGTGGTCTTGGGGAACTTTATTGGTTTGCAGCCTGCAGGAGCGAGCACATCATGATCAACCTGCTGTCTTCTGTGCTGAGATTTGTAACTAGTAGTTATTAGGATCCAGAGATCTTTTCTCGTGAGTTGTAGTCAATTGTAGGAAGGATTGCTGTAAAAGCAGGATGCTGTAAAAGCATGGTTCTAGAATGCTTGCGTCTTGAATCATAACTAACTGGGACCCCGTCCGTCGCAGCGGGCTAGAAATGTAAGTCTGAAATTGAGCATGTAAAAGAGAAGCATTTTCTAATGACGCTTCATGCAACCACCTTCACAAAGTCAACACTGAGGACCGAGGTGCCCGAAATTGACAATCTCTTGTATGAATTGACAGTTTTTCCTCTGCTGCTGCTGCTGCCGCCGCCAAAGAGCAAGACGGGACAGTGTTTGCTTTGATCTTTTACCCGCTGCTGAGTAACGAAATCACGTTTAGCCCGTAGGCTAGCGGCCTAGCATCTTAGCGGGCGCAGCGTCCACGTTGCCCAACGCATCAAAATATCCTCCATGTCACCTCTACATACGTGGAGAGGAGGATTTCAGTACATCGTTTTTTTCGTATTGAAGGAGCCTGGAGTGATGTGATTACTTTTTTTTATTTATATATATGTAGAAAAGAAAAGGGTGACATCTTCCATCGCACTGCTAACAATTTTTATAAGGACTTTCATTCATTAATCAAGAGCACTTTACATGGATTGGATCCAGAGAGACGCAGAATACATACAGTAGATTCATTAATCAAGAGCACTTTACATGGATTGGATCCAGACAGACCCAGAATACATACAGTAGGGCTGGGGCTCCAGTGGTATGCAGGTGGTAGTATGATAAATGTTCCGAAGAACTTGAATGTTTCTGGAACGAACGTAGCCATGTTGCACGTTTTTGGTTGCTACGCGGTGGACATAGGAGTGATGATAATATTTTGCTTCAAGAATGGAAGTAGAGGATCTTTGTTGGAGGCCACCATCCATGCTGAATGGACAACAAGGCTAGTGTTGACTTTGTGAAGGTATTGCAACAGAAAACCAGCTTCAGACGTTTTAGTGTGTAAAATGATTTCGTTTTAGAATCTGTACACTGCAATGCATCGTTCCTGTACAACGTAACTATTTACACCGCTACCGGACTAGCAAAGGGCCACCTCGACTGTCCCACTGTTAGCAAATCATCGTGGAGAATGAGATGCGTCAGACCAGTCCTGAAGGGAATACAATGCACAACCAAAAGGGCGCCCCGATATCGTAACACATTCACAAGCTGAAAATCCTACGGTTAGTCAGACCAAATGTCCTTCAATATTTTTATGGCCTGAATATTTTCATCATTCTGGCCACCTGCGTCCGGCAAAATGGGCATCGTGAAACCGAACTTGAGCATCGGTTACATAGGACATGACCGCATGGTATTATGGTCATGTTGACCTCAGCATTCAGGCAGATACGGCATGACCATGCTGCTTTGGCGACATCAGCTTCTCTTACAGCTGCTTCGGCCTTCTCCTGCAACAGTTGTTTAAACAACTTTCAGTGTCAACGATATAGGCAGTACGGAAACAAACAAATACTAATACCTATAAATGCAACGCAATGCAAACTATGAACTTTACAGCTTCCTTCACTATCAAGCAGCACATAGACTCATAGCAGATTATATACGAATGCACGACAGTTGACAATGCAAACTATGAAGGTAGTTTCCTTGACTTCCGGCAGTCATAGCCTCGTTAGCAGCCTACAAATGCAGCACAATGCTAATTATGACGTTTGGGAGTTTTCTTGACTACCAGGAAGCTAATGAGGAAGGCCAATGCATCCACAGGCATTATGCATGTGGGGTCTGACTTGTGGTTCCTTCAATTATGGAATTCTATAAGGGTGACATGGTCTTTACATGGCACGTCTATCTATGGTCTAGTGCGAGATCCTATAATAACATCCATCTGGTGACAGAGGGACTGAGGGAGCATACATTTAATTAATATATTCAATTTCTTTTCATATTTGAACTTCTATATATCTAAGTCCAAGAATATTGGTTTTCTATTCATAATTAGAATTCACACTCAGTTTAACAAATGGATCTAAATGTGGTACCAGTATTAAAACCTAACTCCAAGTTTATAACAAATGAAACTCATCATTGATCATCATTAGGTACCAGTTAATATTCCAAGACACTGTCTTGTAGTAGTACAGAATTGACAGGGTATTCAGATGCTAGTGAAAGAAAATGAATTCAAGATATAGCACGAAAAGATATCAAAGCAAACAAACCTGCTCCACCAAGAGAGCAACTTGAGATTCTTTAAGCTGATCTTGCAAGGAAAGAGTAGCCTCAAACAGTGTTTCCTTCTCAGCATCCATCCTTACTCCTGCAGCCGAAAGCATATCATGGACTGCTTGTACCAGCTCAGTGGAAGATACTTTTCCATATTGAAGCCCAGCATCCTGTAAACAGTAAAAACACAAGAATTAGGGTAACAAATTCAGAATTCAGCTTGCAAAAATAGAAGTAGCACTTGGAAACCAACCACATCCTTGGTGACTTCAGTGCCAGTGTTGGTGGCTAAGAGGTTCTCTTGCCCACCTAATGCCACACCACCATTCACTTGGGAAGGTGCAGATAGGAGATCAGCCATTGAAACACTTTTAAATGAGTAAACATGACTGGAAAGCAGCATGCGAGTCTCGCCAGGAGCTGTCTCTACTGGAAATCTGTAAAGTGCTTGGCCAGCTGAGGGCCTTACATCTTCAGGGACCCTACCATACCTGAGCTTTTCCCCCTCTTTTCCTGTCTTCCATGCCACAATTTCACCACTATAGAATGGTCTTAATGGAAGGAATTGCACCTGCCGAGCATCTTGAGATAACAACTCTGCTCCAAGGGAAGCGTCATACCTCCCTTCACGTTTTGAAACTCCAACGTCTGAACCCAGGTGAAGAATTTGAAGGACTTCTTTCTCTGAACCATCTGGGCATGCAAACAGTGAGGCAATCGGCAAGATCATTGGTGCCCCTAACCTGTGACTAACAACAATTGCGATAATGTCATATATTGTCAAAAAACTTGGGGGCTCTGCGACTAGAATATAACCCGTAGCTTTGTTGACGAAACAAATGCTTCTGTGCATTCCATTGCTTGACCATTCATGAATAGAAGGATGCTGGATGGTTCTTGTAACATCTTGGAGATTGGGAAGTAAGAGAAAGCGAGTATGGAGGCATTGAACCAGTTGCAGTTTCTGTGATATATCCTCTAGTATCTGTTCTATCTGGACCAAAGCAAGGGCTTCAAATGAAGGGAAATGATTGGTTACGCTGATCATCACAATCCTTAATGCATTTTGCAAAGATTTACTTCGCAGCTTCTCTTTTATTCTGTCTAGTGTAACTGAGTGAATGCTATTGACAACTTTAATTTCTTCTTTTCCATCAAGTTCCTGACAACATATGCCAATTGACATTGTTAGAATAAAATTTGTTCAATTTACATCAACCATACTTCAAAAGAAAAGACACTGAAAAAGTTTGATATCATTATTTTAATACCTCCACAATGACATCAGAGAGCTTTTTGATGCCCAAGGCCCTGCAGATATTCTGAGGAAGGTCTGGATGGGTGAATCTTAGCCTTGATGTATTTATGTTACTCAGTAAACGAGAACCATATGGGTCAACATACACACATGATGCAGCAGTGACCAGCCTGCAGCCATCATCTGGTATTACTGAATCGAAAAGACCATCTGATCCATCTGTGATACTTTGGTTGATTCCATGGCACATGAAGTCCAAGATTTCCATAACTGCACGGAGTTCATTTGGGTTCAAGCGCTGGTAGCCACATGCCTTTTGGATATCCAAAAGAAGTTCTCTTGCATAGGAGTTTGTAAGGCTTTCCTGCATCCCAATCTCTCTAAGAAGGGAAACAAATGGAAGATACCGACTTGGAAGCTCAAAAGCAAAAGGTGACATGTTAATTGTCAGACGAGCAAAAAGTGACTTCACTGGGACCAATCGAGTACCATTTGCAACTGGTATAAATGCCAGTTTCTCCAGTTCTGTTTTTTCTGAAAAAAAGAAGCAAAGAAAACCCTAGTTAAGAGGAATGACCGATCATTTCCAAAAGCAACAGAAACTAATTCATCTTTCTTTTTTTATTGTTATCTTTACAGAAACTAATTCATCTTTCTTTTTTTTATTGTTATCTTTGTGTAGACAATATAACTCCATTATTGGATCCCATACCCAAAAGAAAAGAGTGATACATTAATTCTTAATATATTAGTACTCTGAAAGATTGAATAGAATTAAGATTTCAGAACAACGAAGTGTAAGTATAGCAACAAGTGCACCCCAGTAAAAGAAACAAGTAAATAATTAGTAACTTTTACTTCCAGTAAATAATGGCAAATTGGCAACAAATGTATAAGAAATCAGCTATGCATTTCTGCTACCTGAAGAAGATATTGTTCCCCATATTTTATCAAAGTATTGCAAGACCTGTAGAAAGGCATCTTCCACCGTCATTATCCCTGCTGAGGTTGGCCAGTGTGCTAATGTGTCCTCACCATTGCCTTTACCAACAATCTGTTTCATTACAGAAAGTTAAGGGATATAATTTTAACATTACTAAGTTTTTTATGACATTCACCTGTAAGTGCCTAAAAACTGTACTGAAGGCAGGTGGACTCCTAAGCCGAAATGCTCCCCAAGAATACTCGGGAGGAACAATTGTTTGTTTGGTAAGAATTGGAGCAGAACTCCATGCTAATGGCCAGTCTTTTAATAAGATAGCTTCGTTGTATGAGGCAAGTACCCTTCGACCACCTCTCTTACCACCAATACTTGGAAAACCTTTTTCAGCAGGCACAAATGCAATTTTTCCAATCTTTTCACAAAAAGCACTGTCATACAAAGTAGCAAAATTTGCAAAAAGCACATTTACTACGGATTCTGCCAGTGACCATATCTCAAAAGGGATTTCATTTTTGCTGTCTGTGAAATCTGCCTCGAAGTCATCAACATCTTCTAAAGATGGCATAATATCATGTCCCATGGTTTCTATTTTTCTTGCACACTGTACTATCATATCAGCCTCTGTGGATGTCCTAAGGCCTGCTTTTCTGAGTATAACAAGCCAACCATCTGACATGAACCTTTCAGCAGGGAACTTATATCTCTCCCCAGAAAACACAGAAGTCAACAGAGCATCTGAAGGGTCAAGTAATTCCTCAGGTTTGAAAAACTCTTTACAAAATTCATTTGCATTTGCCACAAAGTTTGTCTCCTTCAAGGTTTCTACTACAGCAGAGTTCAGTTGAAGATCTTTCCAGTTAGCATACAAGTAGGTCAAAATGTCTTCCTGCTCTTGAGCTGTTTTATTTCCAAATCCAGGCAACGCAAACTTCACTAGTATTTCATGATCATTTAGTTGTTCAACCCCCAAAGCCTGAAGGAACAAATGTGCATTTGATGAGCAAGAAAGGCATCGGGCATCACTAGGGTGAAAGAATGCTGTAGGAGAAAGAATGCAATGATCGGACCCTAACAGACTGGTGTATGTTCCTGTAACTGTCTTATAGATTGGAAGTGTTCTCAAGACATCCAATTCTTCTCTCTGATACAAGTGGTTGTTAGCTAATCTGAACTCCGAAACAAATAACCCAAATAGTCTATCGCAGTCTTCACTTGATAGGCTAAGTGGCGAAGGTAAATGTGCAGCATTTTTTGCTGCAACCAACTTAGAAACAATTGCCTGTCCAAGAGTACGACCATTTGGAGGAAATAAATTGCATATTGCACCACACTCTGGGAAGGAGGGATCAACAATTGGTACATTCAACTGGTTAAGCAGAGAAGTTAACCATGGAAATTCTGAGTTCATTGACCTAAATGCAGTATCAAGCACTTCATTCTGTTCTGCTTCTCTAGTATTGTCTCTGGGGGGTCCGGTGTATCAAGCTGTCCAGCTACATCATCTCCAGGAGGGTCTGGTGAATCACTAATTGGTGGCACAAATATTAGATGGCGTTCCTTCACACGACAGAGAACCGGCTTGTCCAGATAAGCAGGAATTAAGGGCCAATCAGACAAAAGAGAAAGGTCACCGTTCAAGGAACTGAAATTTTCCCAGAAGCTTCTAATCCATTTGGGAGTTGGAGTAGTTGATGATTCAGCATTATTGTCCCAAGGAATCCATGAGGATTTGTTCTCTAGTGCAATTCGTATCCAACGCTCATCAAGTATGTGTTTCAAATAACCTGCTAATAAGTTGGGAGAAAAACTCCTCAGTTTCAGAGGCCTATGGATAACCTGAGTGGAAAGCAGCAGAGCCAAGAAGGGTTTTTCCAGACATTTATAGTGGATAAAGCGACCCAGCAAAGGGCTCATCAATAGCTGCTGCTGCTCATTGGCTATCCAGAGTTCAGCCATTCCCAACTTTGTTAGACGCATTGTTGATGTTGGAAATGGAACACCTTTAAGCTCAGAAATGATGGATGACAACAAGTTAGTTTCAGCAGCTTGAGTCCTGTGGAATGCTGGACCATTGGTTTTGCTGATATCCTCAACAACCCCCCTACCAAAGTCATATAGGGCTTTTCCAAAGTATGTCATAATTTCAAGTGCATCACCTCCAGAAGTACCTGCCATCTGAGTACTTGATTGGTAAGACAGTGTGCTGCTCGAAGAAGGCATAGAATGCGATCTAGAAGAATTCGTTGTTCCAACATGTTGGCTGTTAACTCGTGATTCATCAGGTAGATCATCCGAGAAGCGGTAAGGGTCCATATCTGAGAAGCAATATTCAAGAACATCTATATATGTTTCAATGAATCTAAGTAAAATAGATGGAGAAGCTTTTAGTAGTTCCCGAACCATTTTAGGTCTGATCTCTCTTATGGTAACTCCAACTGCCTGAATCTCACTAACCAACTCCCACGGCACAGAAAAAACAGGATATCGCTCTTTAATAAAACTACAAACACTATCAGATGGGAGGTTATCATCATCTCCATTTCCTGAGTCAGCTAAGAACATACCCTCATCTACTTTAACAAGATTTCCATGGTAAAGTTGCCAAACAGGAAGATCAGCTAACCGTACATAGAAAGGCCTTATCACTTGCTCTATTAAGAATTGCCAATCCGCTTTAGATGCCCTTGGTGAATCCATATTTGTTCCAGTAGAACCATGCCCAGTGAATGAAGTTGGATTCTGCTTCGATCTTGGCCAAAAAGAGTATACCCTATCACCATATGTCTGTAATATAGCACCCACAGATTGTGCAGACCTTGGTTCAATAGCAGAAGATAGAGGGTCTGTTTTAAGCTTTTGAAATTCTAGAACCATCTCAACATATGAATCACGCACACATAACATAAGTTCCTTATTCCACGCTTCAACCAACCTGTCCCTGTCCTCTTTAAGTTCTGGCAGAGATGCATCACGTGTACTGCCAAAAATATAGCGCCCACCACTGTGCCTCACAATGAAATGCCCCAAAGTTGTGACTGGCATGCTTATAGACCCAGATAGTGGTAAGGGAGATAATATACAACTGGATGGATGTATATTGGTTGATACTCCATTCCGAGCTATGTGCGCTGCTACTCCAGCAACGGGGGTTAGGTTATAGGCAAGATACCGCCTGAAACAGAAATAAATCAGCATGCATTATACCATCCTTCAATGAGCACATAAATTTAATATCATCTGTCCAAGTTCTCTGGACAATGTTAAAAATAGATAAAGCAGGTAGAAAAAAAAATCTGAGCCTTAGGCTCTGAAAGAGACAAACCTGTCAAGAGCCATGTTTCGTGTTTGACCTGATCCAAGGGAAAGGGCAACAAACCATTTGTCAATATAACTGCAGCCACTCTCAATTACGTGCACATCTATAGCTTGCATTTTGATAGCTGCACTTGTACTTGAAAATATTCTGGATATTTGAAACTTTCTCCATTTCTTTTCGAAAATGGGTTCCTCAAAGAAGCAACAGATGGATCAACAAGTACAGAATAATTCAGAGTTGACTGAGAGGCCCCATCCTCCCATGTTGATAAAGATACCTGTTTCGAATCACATTGGCAGCCCTTTAGAGTTTAGACATCAGAAGATATTGTCTGAGTTTTCCATGGTCATGTTTCAAAAATCAAAACCAACCAATAGAGTTCCCTTGCCACTATTTCTTAACAGCCAACACATATCTAACATAAGTATGGCTATCGAAATTTTGTGTCAAATAACCTTTAGGTATCATGAAACACCTTACAAGTTACAATGTATTACAGCACCCAAAAAGAACTTAAACAACATACACTGAAAGTGCTACACCATTTTATCAATATTACAGACCCATTGTTAATTAAGCAATTTGCTACGCCTTATTCAGATAGCACTGAAGCTTTGCAAGGTGACATAATCATTCATTAATAGTGGCTAACTGTAACATATGAAAGGGAATGGTGTTTATCCAAAATAGAAATGTCATTTGTGAGATATCTCAGGTGAAGTATAAACAAAACCCCGTAGGGGAGTTAGTTAAATATAAATAGAAGTGCTTTACGTAAATAAAGTAAATCTGGTTCACGATGAAATTCCATGGTAAAGAAACCACCTATTATGAGTGTAGAAAACAAAACCAAACAAGTTACACTTCAAAGAGGAAAGACTCAACGGGGCACACAGCATACTACTGCTTAGAACAACATGATATCACAAATAATCCTTACCTGAATGATTGACCTCAAGAACAGGAGAGTACTGGACGGATTCTGTGTAAATCGGTCAAAAACCCGTTGTACTATATTGCAACCTGCTTCAAGCTCTTTGAGGCATTTTGATGATAACGGCATTCGAATAATCGTGGAGTTTGCAGTACATAAAGAAGCATCCTGTGTAACACGCATTGGGAGGAACTGATCATGAAACCTCTCGACCAAATCATTTCCTGAAAGCCAACTATCATTTTCAGAACTTCATACACAAAAAACAGACATAGATGCCAAAACATAGGCAATAATGCCACTGATTCTAGATATGCGCATAACTACATCAGTACATGACTTCACAATTCAAGCATTGCCAAACAGGACAGTACATTCATATTAATGTGCTATCATGTTGCCACAAATAAAGAATCTAGCAGAATTGGAATAATAGATGTTTAAACATGGGACACAACAAGATTATTGCGTTAATGAATTATATATGAAGCCTTCGACCACCGACAGAGCCATCTGCCCAACAGAATTGGTACAAATGTTTTTTTTTTTCGTTTTCTTATTTCATTTTTGCTTTTTGTTTACCTTCTCTTTTCAGGTTTGCTGTTCACATTGTCCAGTTTGGGAGTATAAAATGTCACTAGCATGGTACATCTGTTTAACCTTAACCAGAACATACAACTTGCCACATACCAGTTGTTCAAACTAAATATTAACACCTCAACTTCTTCAACATAATTTATCTACTATACATTATGCAAGTTCAAAATCATAAACTAGTAGGAAGGTAAACGAAGCTCAATACTTTTCAACAAAGTGTAATATGGTCTTCTACAAAGTAAAGTTAACTGTTTTCACGAGGCAATGCAATGCTTATTCATTATCCTTTATCCATCCATTTACTTTCTTCATTCTCAAGCAGCCTATACAACAGGGATATTCAACTTATTAGCATTCTCCAAATGAAAGGGGCATGGTAAAATCATCACATTGCAGTGTGACACGGTCTTGTCATTGATAAGGAGCTTCTTTCTTCCAGACTATCTAGTAATTACATTAGTATCACATAATTTTGGCCACATAAAGAATTTCAATTAACCAAGTCAGTACTTTGATTTAGTGAGAAGTAATACACAGATTTTGAGTGCACTATGTTATAACTGATCAAAGTGTATAATTTCAACCTGGGAGAAGAAAAAGATTGCAACATAAGGAAGATATGCTTATTGCTTTTACAGTAAAAGAGGATCTAAGGATTGTGCCATGTGTTCACAGTAGAACAAATTGTGATTCTATTTAATATGCAAATAAATTGAGTGATTATATTTTTCGCACCTAACAAAGAGAAGTATCTCGCTGATGAGGTAGCAGTGGAAGTCGCACCACCAGTCAAGCCCAAGGGGTCAAAAATGTAAAAATAACCGCCAGAAAGAATAGTCAATGTATCACAAACAAAGTAACTACTAAGAAGTCCCAAGCCATAGTTAAGGATGTTCCCTCTCAATTTCCAGGGAGGAGGAAGTTGGAAGCTGCAAACTTCTTCTCGGTTCAATATGGTTCCTTCAAAGACCACTGTCAATGAAGATCCCTGGAGGTCACCTATAATTTCACAAAAAAAAAGAAACCATTAAGGACACACTAGAAGGTTAAAATATAATTAAGTGGACTATAATTGTAGCAGGTAGATAAAGTAAAACAATTGACTAGAGAGGCTGTTTCTACCATACCTAGACTCTGCTGCAGTAAGGACTGTTTCGGATGTTCTCTTTTGTCATAAATCAGATGCACTTTCTTTGCATTGCAATAGTCTGCTAGCTCTATCAGGTCAAACAAAAGAAAGTCGCTCTCACCATACAAAGCCAACAACTCACTTATTTTAGCATATTCCATGCAGGGCAAATTCCTCATTAACTCATCATCCAACAATGATGATCCACGAAGAGATCGTACACCAAGCCTATTAGCCAGTTCATTGCCAATACTGAGATGAATAAAATTCTTTGAAGTAGGATTAGCATTCATCCAGGGTGCATCATTATAGACGAGGTTTCTAGCAGGTGTCAGAACCCCAAATGAATCCGGAATCACCAATGAGCTCAGTAACACATCAGGTGCTTGACTGTCAGGGTAACAGTCAACAAATGCTTCCAATACACAATGAACAAAACTGAGTTGCTCTGTGGACAACGGCTCTCCTTTGACATCTCCTTCTAAACGGCGGAGCACATTCAGATAATCCATTGCATCAAATGTCTGCCTCACACCCAACTCTGAGAGTAACTTTTTAAACTCTGACAGTTCAGATGGAACTGTGTAAAGATAGGGATGATATTTCACAGGCGAGTCAAAAGCAAGTGCCTGTGGTGCCACGAACCTATCCCCTATATAAATCCATTGAAATCCATCCAGATACTCTTTTAGAGCGTTGCCACTGGTAGTGCCAATAATATCTTGCAATTTTGAGTAGATTACTTGAACCTCCTTTTGCAGAATAGCATCAATGTCTGTGTCTGCAGAAAACATTTTGAGTTCATCATAAGACTTGGAGAGCTCGACTAACTGAGAAGATAATGTGCTCACATTTGGTGGGTCACACCAGCCTAGTTTTCTTTGCACATACATGGAACATGAATCTGCACTAAGAATTCGCATTTTTGATGAAACAAGCCACATCTGCGATTGCGGCCTTGTGATGACTGGTGGTGCTATGATATCTCCAGATATGAACCATGGAAGTCCTTTGAGCAATGGTGCAACATGGACTGGACACCAAGAAATATTTTTGAGCTCTGACCAAAATAAATCTTCTGGCATATCATAATCGAAATTCGAGAACAAAGATACACTAGTTTGGTCACTTGGATCACACACATCCCCATGATTTTCAGGTTCCAAATTTTCACTAATTTCAGATGCTTCCGGATTCTCATCCTTAAGAAAAGTTTCTCTGCCCTCCATGTTTGAAGTTTTGGACTCAAGAATGTTTAGATAGGTAAGTAGTTTTTGCCCATAAGCAAATGCATCATCTTGTCCTGAATTCTGCACCAGTGAAACTGACCTTGCCATGTCAAGCAAAGTACTAAAACCGAAATTTCTTTTCAATCCAAAACTACCCAATAATTCAATTACTTCAGTCATCATGAACTTTTCTGAAGGAAAGAAGGTTTCTTGGTGCAGCAACTTCAGTAACTCAGGCACACGAGGATCATAGAGCCTGATGAGAAACCAAATATTAGAACTAAGTACACATTGGCATGTATCGAAGTCAGAGGGAGAGAGAAGAGGAGGGTGTGGAGCGAAAAAGGAAGACTGACCTGGAGGGCTGGACCCACGCTCCATTGGCTGCCAAGACAAAAGGGGTCTCACATAATGCAGCTCTTGCTGAATCATCATTATCTATCAACAGTTTCACATCACGAATAACTGCTGAAATAATAGCTGGCTGCAAAAGAAACTCTGACATTCGAGGAAGGACATGGTCCTTGTAAAATTCAACCTTTTGAGGTTCCTTGATATCAAAGTATGATACCAAAATTGACCTCTCCTTCACAGATTCAGTTCTTATAAAGCTTGCATTCAATAAATCCTCATGCACCCCTTCTGGTTTAAGCCATTTTCTAGGATTTGTCAAGTTAACAAGTTCCCTAGATTTATAAGATTCAAATATTGGGAGGTTCCTGATTGTATTCATATGGGAGGAGGTGATCTGATTTCCGGAAAACCACTTTGACTGGAAAATGAAACTTCGGAGTTCATGTGCTTCTGCCAGTGAAGTGCTCATAAACAATTCCTTGATATCCTGGAGATTAGAAGCTACAGACTGCACAGCATTCAAAACACCAGCAGCAGTGGATTCCTGAACAAAATTCGCTAACTGGGGATGTTCTATCTGCAGATCAGATCGCAGAAATAAACATCCCAGTTTTTGAAGCAAGGAATGCATATTTTCACTCCATCCATCATCTCTTATTACATTTGCAGCATTCCCAAGTTGCACGACCGCGCCATCTACAAGAGGTAGTATAGGCCACTTTGCAAAAACTGAAATATCGTCACAGGAATGCCTCAAAAAATTCCAGAGTGATACCATCCATTCCATACTTGGCTGGCCTTGCTGCTCAGGAAACCAAGACAACTGCTTAGCATGTTGCCATTCAGGTGGCAAGATCCTAGGCAACAGCTCAATGAGAAGATTACTTGTGAATATATATATGTTCATGCGTGCAGAATAAGCTATGTCATACAACTTCTTCGAAACACCTTCTGGTAAAGAATTGTCAATAACAAGATGTGGTATGGAATCCTTAAGAAGTTCAAATTCTATTTGTGAAGTAAGGAATACTCTCTCACCCTCCCCTCTTTTGTTGAATGTTGTAAATGATCCATTTGCCACAGGAAGAAGAGCCAAACCTTGCAATTTATCACAAAAAGAAGGATCTCCCATATCACTCAAGCAATACTCAAGAACAAGTATAGCCTCTTCTCTGCTTCTGAAGTCACGCTTCCGTCGGATCAACAAATTCCTCAGCAAATGAGGATTTAGTAGATGAACTGATGGATATGCATTAATGAAATTGTCAATTATTGGCTTGGTTACAGATACCACAGGCAAACCAGCTTGAGAGAGAAGTTCTGCCAGCTCCATTGCCTTTGAGAAACTGAAATCTGGAAAAATAGCCTGCCTTGTTGACAGCCAGTGACCACCTCGAGCTTTTGTATATAGAACGTGAATTCCAAGTTCCGCAATAGATACATAGAGTTTCCACACCATGGAAGACCATGGTTCAACACCTGCAGCACTAGGCCAAAATGACAGAAACAAGTCAGAGGGACCAAGCTCTTCAGCAACAGCTGAAAGCAGGTGCCCATAAGCAGGAGCAACGACATCTTCAAGCAGCGCTAAATTCCACTCTGATCGTACTCTTCCTCCCCCAGCCATGTCATTTCCGATCCAGATATCCCTTCGATTTGAAGAGAGTTCAAAATAAGCATTTACATGCACTGGCAAGCTAGTATTGATTGGTAGAGGAAGAAAGCAAAAGGCCCGACCCTCAAATTTTTTCCTGACCTTAGAAGATCCAAGATCTGTGTTTGTGAAAACTGAGTTATCATGGCTGACTTCAGCTTCAGCAGATAGTTCTTTTGTATTATCTACACTCACTGAATGCAGATATGCAGCAACAGATGCCCACGGAACAAAGAAGTGAGATTTACTACCAGAGGCAGTTGACAACTTTCTAGCATGACCCCCGCCTATACATTCAGCTAAAATCCATGAGTGCAACAAGTGTGAAGAAGGGTTCTGCTCAAGAATAGTAACCTTCTGACAACTCCAGGGCAACTCACTGTCTTTAGTCTTATTCAACTTACTGAAAAACTGATTTCTATCCATTCCTGATGGTTGGTTTCCATGTATAAATGCAAGCATTGCGCCATGTGCATGAGGTTCTTTACCCATCTGAGAGCTATTATTCCTGGACACACAATGAACAAGTCGCATCTCCTGACTGTTGTTCTCCTTGACATATAGAGTAACCTTTTTAACATTACGGAGAAAAAGTAGAGCCTCAGATACAACTTCAGAGAATGAAGAGAAAAGCATTTCCACATCTTGTGGTGCATACATTTCTCGTTTTATTTGACTTCTCGAAGCAGCTGCCGCATTCCTAAGGGGGAACCGGAAGAGTGTACCTGGAAATGGCTGTTGCAAATTGCAACCAAAATGTAAGAATGGGGTGAACTGATCAGGAAACTGATCTAATATCCTTCTTCCTACAAATTGTATCCTTAAACCTGGATGAGATGGAGATATTCCTGGCAAATAACAGGCATGTGGATCAAACATGACAATATTCTCACCGGAAACAAATCCAGGAATATCTGTGAAGTGATACACACAATTGAAGCCAAGACCAAACCTTCCAATTGCAAAAGGTTTCTCAAGTTTGCTGTCTTGACCTATTCGTGAGATGGCATAAAGGTCATGTGGACTAAAAACTGAATCATTAAAGCAGTAGAGAGCAGGTCCTTGCCATTCAGCCATTTCAGGTGAAAGAATGGATGAAGTTCCATACTGAGTCTTATCCAGCAAAAACACAACCTCAGAAGCCTTAGCATCTTCTGCATTCTGTACCAACTCAAAGAGAATTCCAGGGCCATCTGCATACATCTCAACAATATGCTTGAGTCGTGTAGTCAAGTCTTCATGCTGTCCAAACGCTTCAGCAACTCCTGACAAACTCAAATTCATCGAATCAGAACTCTCAGCAAGCAAGAGGCTGATTTAAGAGAGCGGACACCAAGCCTTTCAGCCACATCATTAGAAATGTTACCATGAACAAAATTGTGAACATACTTTTTCGAGCTTAAAGCAATGCTTGATGCACTCCCACTGATGTCATGACCAAAATCAAGTAACCAAGGAGCGTCATTGAATACAAGTTCAGAAGATAGACAGAGCCTAGACGAAGAATCGGGTAAATATATTTGTGTTTGCTGATCCTGAAACCGGAACTCAGATAAATGCTGCACAACCAAGATAGCTGTTCTTAATTCTTCAGCTTCAAGTGAAGCTGAAGCTTTCCTTATGGCCATTCTGCTGAGAATACTAGCATAATCAACAGGGTACAGGTGCTCCTTTATGCCGAGCTCCAAGAACAAGTCTTTGAACACTGCTAAATCAATTGGAACAACACGAATGTATGGTGCTAGATGAAGGTGGCCACTTAAAACAACTTCGTCTGTTTTCGCAAATCCATCACCCACCCAAATCCATCTGCATCCTTCTAGAACCACTTTCACAATATCCATTTCATCAGAACCAATCAAGTTTGTCAGCAAAGAATAAATCTTAGGCATCACCAAAGCTAATTCTTGCCGAAGGACTTGATCAGTCACAATTTCATTGTTCTTGCCCAATTCAAGCAGTTGAGCTGCAATCACGCTCCCTGATGGAGGCGACAACCAACCTAAGCTGTACGACAAGGCTGAGGAAGTGCATTCACCATCGAGAATACGTGAGCCAGCAGAAACAATCCACATATCTTCCTGCATCCTTACTTGCTTAGGTGGAGCTATCATTGATGATACTGAAGGCCATGGCAAAGCTGGACTTGGTGCAGTAGACAACACAGGACACCAGCAAATCAGTCTCAGATCACTCCAGAACTTTTCAAGATCAAATTCCCAAGATTTGTCACGAGGCCTGAGCGCAGTGGTAACTTTAGCTAGCATGCTCACCTTCTTCCGACCATCAGATAGCTTATTCACATACCATTTGTGAGCATGAACTTCAAGGTATGAAAGAAGGACCTTACCCCTTGAATGAGCCTTCTGCTGATCTATGTTCACAAGTGAATCAATCTGCCGAGCACTTTGTAATATGGTATCAGTAGAAACTGAAGTTCTAAGCCCCAAGCAAAGCAGCATATCAAGAACATCTGGATTTTGAAATAAACCATGCGGAAAGCAATCTGATTCCTGGAGAAGAACATAGAGTTCTTCCACCCGGGGATCATAAAGAGATTGTGGGCTTTTTAAAGTTCCATTGATAGTGGGAACAACTCTAAGGGTTTTCAAGGTTTCCTTGAACATTGGATCCTCCAAGGACAGCTGAGGCAGATCTTGTAAGATTGTTAATAGAACTGAATCGCGCAACTCCGATTGCAGCTTGTCCAATCTATTCAGAACATAACTCTGGTAGAAGTTTGATTTCGGCATGCGTTCAACGCCATAATATCTCATTATGATATCTTCATCGCTTGGGCAAATAGAGAAAATAAAGTCGGCATTGAGTAAGTGGTCAGGAACACCAAGAGGTGGCAGATACTTTCTTGAACTGGACAAATCCGAGAAACCATAAGTACTGGGAGAACCTCCATCAAATACCCTGAAGATCGGAAGCTTTTTGCATTGATTTATACTTATGTCAGAAAGGCGGGCTCCTAAATACCATTTTGGATCCAGAAGAAACTGGTACAGTTCATTTTTTTCACCAGGGGTAATGTGTTGAAACAGAGATTGCAAGTCAACACCTTCCAATGAGACAACCCCAAAGATTGACTGAAGAACTCCAGTTGCATCACCATCATACACATAAAACGACAATTGCTTGTGGTCACTCAAATATTCAGCATCCAGTATCTTGCAACCAAACTTTGCCAGGAGTTCATTCATCAAATTAGACAGTGATTCTGTTTTGATTAATTTTGAGCTTGTACGTGCCCTGTGAAGGTGGCCAGAAGTAGATGGCAGTATAGGCCAATCACTAAACAAATGAAGGTCATACGAGCGTCCCCCTATATACTGCCAAAAAAGTTTAAACCAGGCTGCTGTAGGAGATGACCCACCCAAGCCTGGATTCCAGGGAACTTGATCTTTAAGCTTCCATCCAGGAGGAAATAACCTGGGTAAGAGCTGGCAGAAGATCGGGCCATCAATGAGCCTAATGTTGGCCTCGGAATCACTGGCTATCTGATACAGCTTGTCTAGTAGTACAGGAGGGATGCTTCTGTCAACTATTCTATCACCAACTTCAGCTAGAAGCTCATATTCGATGTTATCACAGACGTAATAATAGCCCTCTTGCGAACTAGCAGAAAAAGTCCCATACTGCATATTTGCTAGTGGAATCAGTGGAAGGCCATTCATGCATTTACCAATATCAGTACTGTCAACATCAGTAAGACAATATTCCAATAATATCAACTTATGAGACTTTCCTAGTGTAGCAAGTTTAGCATAATTCTTGAGGAAATGCCTCACTATAGCAGGACTCACTATTTTGAGCATAGACTGCATATAAAATTTTGAAAACATATCACCTATTGCATTAGATACGCGGACAATTGGCATGCCTACCAACACGAGGGCTTCATTAAGATTATTGCTTCCTGAGAATCCCTCATCATGAAGCAAAGCATCAGCTGGTGATATCCAGGTCCCGCCTTCAATCTCTGAATGCAAGACTGGAGAGGTGTAAATAGCCTTGTAAATTTGCTCCACAAGGATACTCCACGGCTCCTCATATAAACCAGTTGGCCACAGTGAATAATATGATATTGTGGAGTCAGAAAGCATCCGCAACTTCATCAGCAGTTCTCTGAACAACGGAGCGACAACATCTTCCAACAGTAGCCTGTTCCAATCAGAGCGAAGCTTACCACCCCTGTCCATGTCAGCACCATACCAAATGTCACGTCGGTTGGATGAAACTTCAAAATAACCATTGACATGCACAGATAGTCCTGTCCTTACTGGCAAAGGAAGAAAACAGAAAGCACGACCCTGTCTGAGAACAGTATCCTGTAAAATTCAGCAATTACCATAAAGTGTCCAAGATACTACAAAATGATGATGCACAGTAGAAATTTTGCTATAGTATGAAGTTTTCTACAAAAAAAAAAAAGATCAAGTCATCAAGCATACATTTTGCAGTACAAGACATCACAAACCACAATTGAAGTTTTCGATACTCCAGACTCCAGAGACTTTGTTCAACAACAAAAACAAGACAGAGAACGATATGGAACCCCTCTTTTCAGATAAGGATGCCATTGTTGGTGTGATATTTTTTACTAAACAACAGAAGACAGCAACAGGCAGGACCCAGCTGTTGCCACAAATCACATATTGCAAAACCACAAAGACAATTGTTCACTGACAGATATCACATTAATCTTGCTCCCTAACCAAAAGAATACCTATGAACTCTGCAAGTTGGGCCTATCACATGCCTCTTGGCAATTTCATGAGAAGTTAGACAAAAGTAAACAAAGGTGACATTTCACAACAACATATTTAATTCGGTTAACTAAGAATCACAAAGACAGCTCCATGACAACATGCATGAATAATTGGTCTATACTCTACAGTCATGGTCTGATAGCATAAAACACACTGAAAGAAAGTGAACAATTAAGCGATTGAGAAACTTCCGAAGTAGTTTAACTGACATTCTAGAGAAAATTCAAGCGCTTGGTGCAATTTGCATTAGGAGGAAAAAATATTCAGGATCCAAGCAACCTAAGTCAGTACTGGAGATGCAAATTGAAAATGAATCAGGGATTACCTCAAGCCCTGTGTTGGAGATGCAAGCAGCAACAGAAGCCCAAGGCAGTAAGTGAAGATCATATTCCTTGGCAGCTGCAGTTGCAAAAATACCAATTTTACTTGATGCAGATGCCATTCCCTGAACGATAAAATAGGTAGAGCTCTTTTTCTCAATCTTGTTGCCCAAGAATGCTTCTGATATGAAATCCATCGAGAAAGAGTCCAACTTCTGCTTAGAAGATTCAACAGGAGTGCCAGAGAACCTGACAAGGGCTTGGCGATGCCAGGACAGCTTTTCACTCTGTGGCCCTAAGTAACAAGAGTATATTATTTTTGGCTCAGTCATACCAGATTCCCACACATACATCTCAAGTGATAGAACATTTTTAAGGAACAGCAAATTATATACAGCTTCTTGGTACAGTTTGGCAAAAAGAGATAAAATATCATCTTCTGTGTATGACTGTCTTGATAACCGACTTGAAGATGCTTGCTCAGAACTCCTCAAAGGAAAACGAAACAGAGTTCCCAGAAATGATGCTTCCATGTCGCAGCCAAACGCACAGTACGGTGAAAGCTGATCATGGTACATTGTAATTGCTGATGAACTGACATAGTCGATGCGCTTTCCAGGATTTGCTGCCGACACATTTGGAAGATAAGCACCCTGGGGGTCGAATAGGACAACGTACTTGCCACTCACGAACGACGGCAAGTCAGTCAAGTGGTAAACTGAGTTAAAACCAACCCTGCAGAAACATAATTGTGTTTTGTGCTTCAGAAGTCTTCCAAATAATAAATTAATTAGTGATCGAACTCAGCCTTGAATAAAGCATTATGCCGTAATGCTTAAGAGAGAAAGCCAGTTACATGCAACACAAATGGAAACGACGGAAATATAAATGGGTCATAGAGCAATGCAGTAGATAAAACATAACATATATTCATTGATTTGTCCCTGCATCCCACTTTTTTCTTACACTACACAGCATATTGATACATTCCCTAATCATTGGGAATGATCGCACCCTCAAAATAGCTGGCATCCTGACAAATTGTAGTGGTTACGACGCCATAACACAAAAGCAGCATCGTCACAACCAGTTTGGAAGCGCGGCATTGCAAGTGACCACTCCAGGCAAGCTCCGCATTGAGAATGAGGCAGTAGAGGCGTACCCGAAGCGGCCAGTCTTCCACGTCTGGGCGACCTTCCTGCTGTCTCCAATGCGGGAGATGCTGGCGAAGTCCTCGTCGGTGAACACCGCGTCGTTGTAAGCAAGCAGCGCTGGGCCCTGCCACTGCGCGAGCGCGGGGGCCAGCAGCGACGCCCTCCCATGCGATCGGCGGTCGAGGCAGAGGCGGACGCGCCCTGCGCCAGCGTCGTCGGCGTTCTGGATGAGCTCCCGCAGCGCGGTGGTGCCCTCCGGGTAGTTGGCGAGCACCTCGCGGATGCGGCGCGTGAGGTCCACGCGCTGCCCGAAGTCCTCCAGAAGCATCCCGCCCCCGCCGCCCGGATCCATGGCGGTGAGGCGCCGATCGGAGCTACTGGGGCATCCCGGGAGCGAGGAGGGAGGGAGGATGCTAGGGTTTCCGGAGGGATGCAAAGGGTTTGGTTTGGTTGGGTATGGCTCTCCGATTTAGGCGTGTTCGTGGCGGTGCGAGGACGGGGTGGTTGGTCTTCCGGGGATTTGACTCTGCCTAGCCTCTTCGTCGCCGTGTTTCTTGTTCTTGGCATGTTTAGTTCCATTCTAAAATGTCAAATTTTTCAAGATTTTTTGTTACATCAAATTTTTAAACGTATGCATAAAATATTAAATATAAATAAAAAATAAAACTAATTACATAGTTTAGACACGAATTTTTTAAGCCTAATTAGATTATGATTGGACACTGTTTATTAAATAACAATAAAAATGCTACCGTAGCATTTCGTCAAAAATTTCAGCATCCAACGGTGCCTTGGAGGGGAAGGGAAGCCGAGAAAGGGGGTCCCGCCGTCCCAACGATTTCCCGGCAGCTGCTCACCTCATGGGTGACGGATGAGACCCACGTGCCAGGGATGAGGGGAGAGACAGGTATGGACTTGGGCCGTGTAGTGGCTTCTGTGTGTGAATTGGTCTGGCTGTGGCCCACGGACATTCATCGTCATCTGCGATGGCCCATCTTTGAGATTGCAGCGATGCAAATCCATTTTTTTTAGCGTGCTAACTCGTCTACAAATACACTTAAACCATTATTACGTGTCTATCTCAGTCTACGTGTGTTGAAGTGGTTTGATATAAAACTTAAACTAAAATTCTACACCAAACCACTCTAACACACATGGATTGATCTAGATACATAGACATGGCCTAACAGTATATATATGAGTTGTTGAGCACATAGGCGAAGAATGAGCTAGTTCTCCTGCCCGGAGCTGTCAATGGCGAGGAGGTGGCTCCACCTCTGTGACATTTTCCATTTCCTATTGGGGCACCATTGGGCCAAACCTAGCGCACCCAGCTACCATGGCTAAAAAGATCAACCAACTATATCTTCATACATGACATTTCGTAATATGATGACGGATAGGCGGCATTGATGGTGTGGTGCATGTGGCACCCACAAACATACTCAGCCTGTTCGGAAGGCCGTATCGTATCGTGGATTATTTACTGCTGGCTGGTTTGGTGTGAGAGAAAAACATTGTTCCCGGCTGGAAATTTACGATCGTTTACGAGCAAGCGAACAGGCTGACTAAGGGCGCTTCCAAGTGTCCAACAACCAGCGATGTCTTTGATTAACTTGGATCTCGTTTAACATGAAAGAGTGTGTGTTCTAATGACAAACAAATCAACAAATGATTTCACATGGGAGAGACGAGGGCATTTCAGCGGGAGAGAATATGGATTTAGTGGCATATAGGGTTTGTTTGCATGCCCATGTATCGGCCTTAAATCTATGTGCGTTGAAGTGGTTTGGTGTGAAACTTACTCTTCTCTAGCTACTCTATCGGGGACACCGTAATAAATCCAGACCAATGGCAAGCGGCTTGACAACCCAAAACAACAAATCAAGTTCACGTCTCGTTGCACAAAATCACAGGAAAAACATCGAAGCCATCCACATCTGAGTGGAAAACAAAGCAAATATTTAAAGCTACTCACTTCATTGTAAAATTATAATTCATACAACTTCTGTCCTAAATTAAACTTCTCGACTTTGATCAAGTTTTCGGAAAAAATGCATCAACATTACAAACACTAAATTAATTTTATTTAATTATCCATGAATACATTTTGATATTCCATAGTGATAATATATCTTTTAAAAACTGAGTGAGAAGTTTGCTCGCAGTATTTTTTTTTATAAGGTAGGAACAAAATTTACTTTTGTTACCACAGGTACACATCACTTTATCTTCAAATATCGCATTGTGGGCTGTAGCTTAGCCAATAGGCTGATGAGTCCACGGCCCAGTGAAGCACTACCGCGCTAGTCAGTCAAACTCGCTTCTCGTTCTCGTGGTTCCCACCTTCCGAGTTCCGACTCCCGCGGCGAGGCCGCACGGTACGGCGGCGGCGGCGGACAGGAGGGAGTCAAGAGCTCGCTCCGTACAATGGTTCACGCGGTGCCAAATCCTCCAGCCTCATTTCCCTCGCATTCCGTCTCGTCTCTCGTCCTTCGCCAGTTGTTGCGCTCCCCCGTCGGTCAGTGCCGCCCCAATCCCCATGCTCGTAATCTTCTAACCCCTTCCGACTCTCCTATCAGTTTTGCCAAATTGCTGTAGTCAGTCAACTGGTGTCTCAATCGCCTCTTCACCATGGCGATCCGGCCCAAGTTGACGGCCATTTGATGACGCTAACCGTTACTTGTCCCTCAGAGTCGACGCCCGCGGACTCTTCGACGGAATGCCTCCAGAGGGCAAGGGCATCGACGCCCTCCCGGACGAAGTCCTCCATCACATTCTCGGCTTCCTGGAGGCGCAGGAGTCCGTGCGCACGTGCGTGCTGTCCTGCCGCTGGCGCAACCTCTGGAAGTCGGCTCCAGACGTGCGCATCCTCGCCTCCAAGGGCAAGTTCTTGGGATCGGTGGAAAAGCTCTGCAACTTCTTGGACTGTCTGCTGGACATCCGTGGGGGCGCGCCTCTCGGCACGTGCGAGCTCCGTTTCAGTTATTGGACAACGGCAGCTTCCATAGTGCAATTCATACAACGCTTGGAGCCCCTGGTGGGAAACTGGTTCCGTCATGCTTCAGTGTGCAAAGCTCAGGTACTCAGCCTCTATGCACATGACTCTGGGAGGATTGACGGATATCACGGACACACAGTTTGCCTGTACAAGATACCACATCTCAACTCCCAGCACCTGACGAGGCTAGAGCTTGGCAGCGTAGTGGTTGACAACAGTTTCCTTAACTTCTCAAACTGTCCGTCTTTGCAGCATCTAAAATTTGAGAACTGTTGTTTCGGATCATATGGTTTTAAGCTGGATGATTCCCGCACTCACATTTGTGCCCCGAATCTGGTTTCACTACATCTAAATGAAACTTGGGGGTGGACGATTCCCATGCTTGAGAGCATGCCGTCATTAGTGAAGGCATTTGTTAGAATATGCATGGTTCCAGGGGACAGCTGTGGCCTAATGGGCAATTGTACTTGTGAGTTCTGTGACAATTTTTACAATATTGGTGATGGCACTGGCAGTAATGGCTGTGTGTTACTAAATGGTTTATCCGAAGCTAAGGATTTGACGTTGATTTCTGCACCCCAACCGGTATGCCTTCAATGTCATCTCTATGACTCTAACTCGATTATGTTATGTCATCTCATTATTGGCAGGCAAGCTTTTGCCTTTCTCATTCCTTGTCACTAAATATTTAAACTCAAACCATGCTCTCAATGAGGATTGCTTCATCATTTTCTCTTACGCTTTGTTCAGTTTATCTTCAAAAAGGATTTGAGATGGTGCCCAACGTTTAGTAAGTTGAAGACCTTGCTGCTCAATGACTACTGGTGTGTGCCTGATGATTTCCGTGCACTAGTTTGTCTTCTTGAACACTCACCGGTTCTAGAGAAGCTTACTCTTTCACTTTCCTCTAAGGTGCATGCTTCATAAATTGCCAACTGATGCTTTTTAGAATTATTGTATTGTCAATTGATCGTGCTAAACTGTTTTTGTTGATTACATAAGGTTGAACAACAAAGAAAAACAAATAATGGAAGTCTCAGACCGATGGAGAGATCAGCTGCAATTTTGGAACACCTTAAGATAATTGAAGTCAGATGTGATGTGGTTGATGAGAGGATTTGTAAACTTACCTTATTCCTATGTGCATTTCACATACGTAAGCTGACTTGCTACTCTCCATGCTTCTATATTTCCGAGATTCAATGTTACCTTTATTTGTCGAAAATGACTTGCTTTAGTAATTCTTACAATATGTCAGCTTGCTGAGTGGTTGTAAACACCAGCACACATGTCCACATTCTATCTCGGGGACTCGTATTCGCATGCTTCATTCTATATACTGCTGGTACAGTGCATGCTACATTAGATAATTTCTGTCACTTAAGCTTGTCCTGACACAGTTGCTGTCAATCGCCTTCCATTTTGCTAATGTACGTGATGTGGGGGCCGTTTGGTTCGGCATCCAGAACCAGAATTTTGGGCTTCGTGTTTTACCATTCAATTTTTAATCCTAGTAAGGATTCTCATATGCATGACAGTGGTAGTGTTTTATTACTACTTAAAAACACTAGAAGAATTCCACCATTTTAGGCTATCTCCAACAACAACACCCAAAATACAAGACACATTCGTCCTTTGAGTAACGCTACAGGCAAAATGTTCAATACCTATTCGGCATATTCTCTAACGACAAGACCCAAAAGATAATCCTTTCTGCAAATGGGTTTTCAGGAGAGATGATGTCCATATTTGGGTTGTGCCTCTCAGGCAACTCAAAATAGGTCTTCCTTACAGGTACTCTGTTGGAGGCTGATTTTAGATCTCTTGTTACCTATTTTGAATTTGGATGTTTTATGGGTTCCTTGTCGGAGACCGTCTTAGTAGGGATCTCGCAGTCGCAGGCAGCTCCGCTCCCAGATCTAGACACATCGATCTCACCCAGGAGCGAGAATTGAACACCTGGGATCGATGCCTGGCGAGGCAAGTTTGCCTGGGGAGCAATTCAAACAGGCCCAGAATATGGTGAACATTAGTAATTAACGATCGAGCTCTGATTTCTGGACAACAAACATAACATGGCACGGTTGAGGCGTCCAGTACTGGATTCCTTGCACGACCATGGATACGCATACGCCCATCACAAGGTAGATTTTCCTGAAAAGTAAAGGTAGACTGCTTGAGGTCGGGCGAGCGAACCGGTTCCTCTACCAAACGAGCTATTCGCTCCAGTCATGGAAAAAAATTCTATACATGCGTGATGTACATTTTTTGCGATCGTGTCTAGGCACGTTTTTCATTAAGTAGAAGAGAGTTTTGTTACAACACCTAGTAGCGACAGTAATTCAAGGTTA